GGACCATGTCTACCTGTCTTTTGAACACCTCCAGGGATGGTGCCCCAACCACTTCCCTGGGCAGCCTATTCCAATGCTTGATAACCCTTTTGGTGAAGAAATGTTTCCTAATATCCAATCTAAATCTCCCCTGGCGCAACTTGAGGCCATTTCCCCTTGTCCTATCTCCTGTGACCTGGGAGATGAGACTGCCCCCCGCCTCTCTACACCCCCCCTTCAGGTAGTTATAGAGCGTGATAAAGTCTCCCTCAGCCTCCTCTTCTCCAGACTGAACAACCCCAGATCCCTCAGCCTCTCCTCATAAGACTTACTCTCCAGACCCCTCACCAGCTTCGTTGCCCTTCTCTGGACCCGCTCCAGCACCTCAATGTCTTTTTTGTGGTAAGGGACCCAAAACTGGACACAGTACTCGAGGTGGGGCCTCACCAGTGCCGAGTACAGGGGGACGATCACCTCTCGAGTTCTACTCACCATGCTGTTCCTGATACAGGCCAGGATGCTGTTGGCCTTCTTGGCCACCTGGGCACACTGCTGGCTCATGTTCAGCCGACAGTCAACCAACACCCCCAGGTCCTTTTCTGCCTGGCAGCTCTCCAGCCATTCTGCCCCAAGTGTGGTTGTTGTGACCCAAATCCAGGACCTGGCACTTGGCCTTATTGAAACTCATCCTGTTGGTCTCAGCCCATGGATCCAGCCTGTCCAGATCCCTCTGCAAAGCCTCTCTACCCTCTAGCAGGTTGACCCTCCCACCCAGCTTGGTGTCGTCTGTGAACTTACTGAGGGAGCACTCGATTCCCTCGTCCAGATCATTGATAAAGATGTTAAAGGGAAGGGCTCCCAGTACAGACACATCAGGCCAAAGGGAGAGCTGGAAATAGGGCTCTGACAGCTCTTGCACTCCTGCCTCCCCCAGCAGGCACATGGGCATCCTTCCCCCACCCCACAGACAAGCAGCAGCTCTTGATGTGCTGCATATTCCCAGAAGGAGACGCAGTGGGAGACCCAGCCACCAACTGGGTCCCCCAGCTTTGCCATCGGTGTACCAGCACGGGGAAAGAGGGGTGCCAGGGCAGGGCAGGCAAGGAGTGAGACAGGGCATTCCCTGCGCAGTGCCAGCAAAGCCCCACGTGAGGCCACAGGGCGATAAGCGAACTGGGAACCTCCTAAGAATTACAGTTATTAACGTTACTAATTCATGCACGGATTTCCCCTATGCTATCTAGATAATGCTGAAGTCTGTTGGGCTTCCTAGCAATCGGTGGAAAAACAAAACAAAACAAAAAAAGCACAAGAAAAAAACCCCAAACCACAGATGGGGTGAAAAAGCCTCTTGCTTTTTTATTTCTTTAACACAGTTTTGGTGCTTTCCTAGGAATACCCATCGCTCATTGACAGGAAGCAAAATGCAGCAGCAGCTTTTCCACGCTGGTACCCAACACTTCCAAAGGGAGCTCCTATACCCACCTGCTGCCCAAGCTGCTGCATCTGACCAACGCGTGGCTTCGAGTTTTAAACCATCCACCTTTTATGCAGAGGTCTCTATAGCTGCAAAGGTGAAACAGTCAGAATTGTTTGACTTTTTTTTTTTTTTTTTTTTTTTTTTTCTGTAGTTCCTTAAGGGAAAAAGATAAAATTTTTTTTTTTTTTTTTTTTTTTTTTTTTTTTTTTACTGTAGATCCTACCTGTGTGGGTTACAAAACCAGAACAAATTGTGGCTGAAACTTCCTCTTGGCTGTAACATGCAGTATGCAGGGTAGAAAAGGGACAGAGCCTGATTTGATATGACTATTTTTGACAAGTAATTTAAAAATCTCATATAGCTGGCTTTACACTGAGAAGAGGCGGATCTCTGGGGCCTTCTGTCCTAATTTGACTGTGGGGTTTTTATATGGTAGGTTTTGGAGAACTTTTTGGGTTTTATTGAAGGCAGTGGAAAGAGTGGGGAAAAAGCTGAAAACTCAGTCTTATGGCATAACAGCAGAAGTTCCTACATCTTTGTATTAAAACGAGCAGGTAGGCACTACTCTCTAAACAAGGTCTCTCAAGAAATTTCAGGAAAACTGCAAACTACTGCTTGATTTTTATTATTCTTCCTAGAAGTTGTCTGACACAAAACAGTTCTGCCTTATTTAAAAAACAGAATTTCCTGGTAAAGTATTTCAGAAACGCAATACACGCAAATGCTAAGACAGTGACTAATTATTACAATTATTATTTCCTTGAAGATAAGCAGCCTTCGATTTCTAATGGCTGGTTTATTTGCTGAATACTGTTGGCCTTAGATATGATGAATTATTATTATTTCAGGTAAATTTAAGTGGTATGCAGATAATACGAATTCTTGCATAGACTAGGAAATAGGGGGGAAAAAAAAATCAGATCAATAGGGTTTTTTATTTAAATAGCTGGTGTGTCTCATCCTGCCTTTCTTGAGCTTTGAAATATTAGAGGGCAAAGGAAGCACTGCAATGTGATATACTGCAATTATAAAGGGGAAATGTCAACAGAGAAATCCAAAACTGCCAGCGCTGCAGCAAACTAACTAGAATTTACATCGGATGCTGCCATCTTGACAACATGCTGATGAGAAAAATATAGTAACACTGTCCTTATTTAAAAGCACAAAACCCTGGTGGGTTACAACACAGCTGTAAAGGTAGTTAATCAAGCTACACTCCTAAAAACCTGCACAGATGGAACGTTGAAATGCATGTTTTAATTGGTGTTTTTCACATTGAGTGCTGTGTTTCACAACTGCCTTCCCCTGGTAGCCACTTCAGAAAGGATTAACAGCTACTCGCTTACACCATACTCTTTTTTTTAACGTAAGACATAGTGCACAGATGGAACGTTGAAATGCATGTTTTAATTGGTGTTTTTCACATTGAGTGCTGTGTTTCACAACTGCCTTCCCCTGGTAGCCACTTCAGAAAGGATTAACAGCTACTCGCTTACACCATACTCTTTTTTTTTAACGTAAGAAAAACAAAAACTCAAACAGTACCAGCATATACTGCTCCCTGGCCATGGCACAGGACTTAGGCTGTCCCCTTCTCCTCCCACTGCAACCAAGAGGGGCGAGGGCCAAAAGCTGTTTAATGGGTTTTGTTCCCTTCCCCACAGACAAATGAAGTTTCAGCCAAAGGATGACAGCAAGATACAACACAAGGTGAGGGGCTCCTTACTTTGTGTTAGAAAGCACTTTGGGTCTCCTACTAATGGTTGGAGTTCTTTGTTTGTTGGTATATAGATATATATACATATGACTAGGTCTGATGGTCCAAAACTAAAATTTCCATTCCAGATGAGACTATTAAATTATTCTTTGTATCCCTATGGAAAGCCCGCAGAAGTTCTGTATCGTGCCTGCAGATGTAAATCTGATCTCTCTCAGACAAGTGAATGAGCATACAAAGCTTCTCCACTGAGAGCTCAAGCATTGCTGTCCATAGGCTACCATATTCTACCCATATTTGCTTCGTACTGATTCTCTGGAGTTAATACATCCACCTGTACATGTGGTGTATTGTACACCTATCATGGACTGTTTGAATTAAAAATGGAATTAAACAACCATCAGTACTTAACTTCCATATCCAACAAACATCAGTCCCATGGACTTTGACTCTTACCAGAAGTCATTGAGACTCAAGACTCATCAGAAAATGGAGGGCAGTTCTGCACTCAGGAACGCCCGCCTTACACATATGCAAATACATCCATTATCTCTATTAACAGAGAAGGGAGGAGGAGGAGGAGAAATACTACATTAAAGGAAGTATGTTGCCGGTGCTGTGAGCTGTCTTGAACACAAAGCTTCAGGTGACACAACGCGTTGTTCCCCTGTGCAATGGCTACTCACAGCTGTGGTCCAGCCTCCAAGGCACCTATAGCCAGGGCAGCTCAATTTGGAGATGAGCTCTAACAATTTTAGCTGCTAATCCCTGTAGAATGCGGTGGGCTCGCACCACAGGTTTGCTGAGTGTCACACACTACACGAGACTCGTGCACGGCGTCCCCAGCACTGGCCACAAGCTGCTTGAGGACCTCAGCACTGAAGCAGGGCCTGTGCTCACAGGTGCCCGGGAGAAGAACCACCACTGCTGCAGTGTGGGTGACTCTGCCTGAAGTGAAGGATGACACTGGAGAGAAAAGCAAAGACCAACTCAATCACAGTGCAGAGTGAAAAGCCGGAGCTTTCTTGTTTTGAGGAGCAGGGGTGGAGATCGGTGCAACCACGGGCTGCTGGTGGGCTGTGCTCTGTGCCCTGCTCCTCTGCTCAAAGCAGCCACGTCAGTGGGCACCGATGGGTGAGAGCTTGCTTCCCACATGTGCATACAGGTGTGCCCTCAGCTGCATCCCTCATACACAGCCTTCTGCGGGGACACTTCATCTCCCTGCAGCCCTTGGTTTATCCCTCAGCTGCTCCTTTGCCTTCCAGAGTCAGGTCAGTCTCCCGAGAGGCTTTTTCCCCATAGAATTTCTACTCTGACCTGAGTGAGGGAAAGGGATGTGCAGAAGGTCCCTGGATTAAAAAGTGCTGATGTGGGGTATCAAGCAATGACCCACTTCAGGAGTGGAAGAGCCTTCACTTCCAGTTCTTGCAGGACTTTCCAGAACACCAGTGTTCAGAGGCACATGGTAACTTGTGCAAACACGTTGGAAATTGAGATCTGTTGGCCTCTAATGCCATTCAATTCTCTAGCTTGTTTTCTTTCCAGCCTCTGCATCTACAACTACTGACAAATCACATCCAGCCTATTTCTTCTCGCTTTCGAACCACCACGCTCAGCTGAGTCATCCTGGCCTCCCTCACACCGCATCACCAGGACTGATGGCAGCAGGGACAACCAGTACGAGTTAAGCCTGGAGGGCTTCTCCTTTTCAGATCAAAGCACTTCACACAAAAATATTTCAGCAAAAAGCAGAGAAAGCTGAAGCAGACTTTGGAGTGGATCGAAATTGGCAGCAGCTTTTTATTAGCCTGAGGATAAAGCAACTGTATTGCATCAGGATTTATTCATTTTTTTTTTTAAAAAAAGAAAGGAACATTTTTATTTACAGACATTTTATAGAGTAAAAGGGTTTGTTAAAAACGTGAGGGCTGTTCTAAAGCACGCTACTGGGCTGCGTTTGATTAGGATTCCTTTCTGCTACAACAGATAAAAGATCACTCAGTCCAACATGTTCCTGAAGGAGTTTCAGTGAAATCCCAGTGATGTAGGTAGGAAGCACGTTTCAGTTTAAAATGCTGAGGAAAAGAAACTCGGTATTGCTTCGACTTTTCCCTTGCCTCCATTTTTAAAGGCTCCTCGGAACGCCAGTGCTCAGGAGAGAAGCAGGGGAGTCACGCAATCACCATAAAAGAGTCTAGAGCAGCGTGGGGTGAACTTACGTGGCACACAAATACCCCTCGCAGTGGGTTGAGGGTTCCCAGTTCTGCAATAAAGCTACACCCTAGCTGACCTGTCCCCCTTTTCGCTAGGCACACGTACACGCCTCGGTTCAAGTTCAGAAAATAAACACAAGCAACCGACATCAGGTTTAACCACTAGAAATAAATAGTTCGAATACCAGGGAGAGGAGTGTTGTCTCACCCTCGGTAGCGGTGGCATTCACTCCTTTTTAATGATGTGCGGGTGTCTAACCATTTCCCATTCAAGGTGTAGGCACACTACAGTGGATTTAGACCTTCCAGCAAGCGTCCTTCCTCTGATCACTTTTCACAGACCCCTTCAAAGCAGCACACAGACACACACGGCCTCACAACTTCAGCTCGGGAACTGCTGCATGAAGAAAAGGAAAGATGAAATGGAATAGGAAAGGAAAACTTGCAGGAAAAAGAACAAAAAGGTATGAGAGTCGTCTGGCAGATATCACATCTCATGTCACGCCCACACACCACGATCTGTCATGAGTTCAAGCATTGGAAGGAATTTTGGGTTTCTTCCAGGACAGCACGCAGGGTGAGGATCACAAGAGCACCCCACAGCCACTGAAGATCACTGCCAAGGCCTATCCCGCGCTGAGAAAACAGCTGGGAACAAACACCCCTTGGGGAGAGGAACTGCCAACACAGCAGCCTTTTATCCTTCAGAAGTCTAACAATACCGATGCTTGTGCCGAAACCCCACACAGGATCTGCAACCAACCCCCTGAAAGCAGTTATCGGTGTCCTCCTCAAAAGATTTTCCTCCTCTAGGAGTAAATGGTTTTGTTTATGCACACGGACTCATAGCACTCAACATCAAAGCAGCTCAAGAGAAGGCAGGGTTGGGCAGAAACCCCTGTGGTGAGCAGGAGTGTCAGAGAGCAGGTGACCTGCCCTGCCAGCCCCTGCAGGAGAGCCCCTGCACGCTCGCAGCCTCCAGCATCCCTGCATCCCTCTCCCATGCTCAGGTAAGAGCAGCAGAGCAATTCCTGGGACCAGCCCTCCCAATCTCTGAAGATATGGCTAAAATAATGGTTTGATGACACAAAAGAGACCCGCCTTTAGCTCACAACCACCACCTCAACGCCGGTATTACCTCATGACACGCACGAGTAATCCAATACAGACTCCTGCTGCAGATTCAAATTTGTTCAGAAATGTTCCAGTTTGCTTTGTATCAGCAGGAATAACTTCCTCAGCAACAATTAGCAAAAAAAAAACCAAACAACCCACCACCAAAAAAACAAAAACACCAGAAAAAAAAAAAAGAAACAAAACCCTACTCTGATCCTTTTCCTCCTGTCCTGTCTAGGTCACAAGCAGTGTGAGCACTGGCCCATTCCTGGTAACATCACACTACTGGATCTGTGCACGACTGAACCCCTCACCTGAACAGTCACAAAGCTACACCCTGGGGCTGGAGTGTCCTTAATTGCTTCCCCAACTGCTTTCCCTCTTAAATTTGATGAATACAAGAACTACTAAGTTTTAACAGCCACCACCAAACAGCAGGTGTCTGTTTCCAAGTTACCAATATCAAGCACTTAAGACAGCAATTTCTCATCCTTTCTTGAGGACCACAAAAAATATGCATCACCAGTATCATAGGTTTTCACCTCATGCATGCAACTGTCCTTCAGACGACTGAAATTACAGGGTTTCTTAATTGTAGCTTCTTATCAGCATGGGATGTAGGCAAACTACCAGGAAATTTGCCTTCCTGTTGTTGAGCTCCATTCCTGTCATTCGACATCTTCCATTGGAGAAGGGGAAGCTACAAATTGACAGCAAACCAAGCAGCTGGGCCTCACATCTGCATTTGAGCTCTAAATTTAAGCCTCCTACCACATTCCCAACCTAAATATAGGAAAGCATTTGCTTCATTTGTATGACATCACATGCACACACATACAATGATGTACTGCAGAAATAATTACTTCTAATACAGCACAGCTAAAGACAGACACCAGGTGTATGAGAACATGATCCTCACCAGTCAACAGTACAAACCAAGAAACTGCCCAACCCAACTTCTAGGAAATGACAAGGAGTCCATGTGGCACAAGAGCCTTCAGGCACTCAGGATGCTCAGACAGAAACCTTGTCCTAGGGGTGAGCCTCCACGCCAGGCCAGATCTTTGCTGTAACAGCCAGCGAGCCGCTCCACCAGGCCAGCTTGGTCCTTCAGGCACTCTCTTAAAAGACAGAAAAACACATCAGCTCAAAACTACTTGCTCCAGATTAGGTCAAGTCAGGTCCATTTATCTCAGCAGACTCACTAATAAAAGGGTTATTGTACCTGAGGGGGCAAAACTCCTCATCAAGCCCAAATATACCCACCTACCACCTTCTCCTCTGTTCAAGACCCAGTGTAATCCAGGAGCATCCAATTGATTTGGTGATACTCAAAGAATCACCTCCGATCACTGGTATGTGGATATTGGACAGAGGGGCCAGAATTGCTACATGAGACCATAATCTCTCTGCATGCAACACTGCATTCTTACTGTACACAGAGTAGAAACTTCGTATTTTATTCACGCCAAGGCAGCTCCTGCCACAATTGAGACTTTTAACCAGAACAGACAATACCACTCTTGACACCTCACATTTTTTTGTCCAAAGAGACCTTTGCCAAGGCAGAGTGCTCTTTACTTAGAAGTAATCACCAAAAGACATCAGACGGTGGATGTGAAGGACTGTCTCTGTGCTTAAGAAGACACTTCCACACAGAAGGAATATGAAAATCCATGTGATATTCTACAGCACGAGACAAGGTCATAGCCTCCGGGACATGCAATAAGGACAAGACTGCAATTCTGAGCAGACATAACCAGCAAGTTCTTAATTTCACTGTTGAATACCTGCTATTCTCAAAACAAGCTACACCTCAATGTCTTACACATCAGTGTAACTAAAATTTGACTGCAAAATTTTTAAGTGTCTAGATACTCCAAAGAGAACAGCTATATAAAGAGACCTGGAGAACTACTCATGATTCGTGGGCTAATTCTGAATACTTTTAATGGATTGTACAGATTTCTACATCTGGTTTTACGAAGTACATTATATTCCAAATAGACATGATGCCATCTGGTAGATAAATGCCTATCTTCTGCCCTGTGATGAAGCAACAAGTGATCCCATAAGGCTTCCATAACTTTTCCAAAAAATGTACTTCTTGGCTAACTGCAACATAAAAGAGTTCTTGTTGAAAGAAGCAGAACAGTGTCCAAGTTTTGCACATAGGGTGCTCAAATAATTTTCACAGACACACTAGGATCATATTGCAATAGAAGGATCTTCCAATAACACAAAGTTGACTGACACATTTTACTTTTACTTACCAGTGTATAAAAATCTATTTTTGCACTTTTTCCTAAGAAATATCCCACAAGTAAGAAGTAATGGATTAGAAGCTAGGCAGAATCCCTACCATATAAACTGAAGATAAAAGGTAAAAACAGAAATGGCGAAGTTTCAGCTAAAACCTTTCATATACAGCAAGAGTTTTACTACATTCCCTTTCCAATAGCCAGGTACACAAAGTTACTTTAGCTAACAGACCTTTTAAAAAGTTAAAAAACAAACCCCGAACAAAAAGAAACAAATGAAGAAGTCACATCAACTGAAGTCTGTGCTCTTCCACCTGAAGAAGAAAGCCTGAACACAGTAGGCAAAAAGGAAATCTTGTTTCGAGGAAAATACCATCTCCAATATTTATATATCGTGCATTAGAGATTCCTAGGACTGAACCGCTAACACCTGTGTGCTGCTAGAAGCTTAGGCATGTCGTAAATACATTATCTGCTGCAAGCAGGATATTTTCATATCAGGCTACCTGAAAACCTGAATCTGAATAGAAGTTTAAACCAGTCTTCTTCCATAATTCATTTTACATTTAAAAAACAGTGCACAGTTGGATCAGTTCCTTTCAAGGAGCCAAAAGTTACAAGCTAACAAGAGTGTCATAGCGATGATTCTTCAGTCTTCATCTTTTTTGTTTCTCCATTCGAACCACGTTGCAGCTCCTCCTGCCTTTTCTTTTTCTGCTGCTGTAACCTTTCCTCTTTCCTCTGTAGGTAGTCGGCCATGTTATCAAACGAGGCCTTATAGAGACTGCTGTAGTGCCTCTCTGTGCCAACAAAACCTGCAATTAGGCAAAGCAAGAACACAAGACGAGTGTTAAAATTCCCCTTAGCGGTCTCAGCAATTACTTCTTGTACTGTAATTCTAGAGAGTGGCATCTCAACTCCTTTACTGCGGTCCTATCCACTTTATTAAATATCAGCATCTACAGTGCGGAAGCCTGATTTGTGTGGGTAAGCATCTGTCCTGCACTCACACAGCCAGACACAGCCTCTGTTTTTAGGCTAAAAAATTTGCACAGAGGCAAGCACCTGACCCTGAAGCAGAGAAGGCACACAGCTCTCTTTAGACGTTGGACACCTCAAGGCTTCTGAAGGCAGACTTCAAGGCTTCTGTTTTTAAAGCGAATGCTGTTGCGACCTACCGTTAGATATCCCACTGGGGCTGGACCCCAAGACCTACACACTGCAAAGGCCATATGCTACCTAACTGTCCTTAGCTGACTTGCCTCCTAGAGTATTAACTTAAAAGAAGCCCAAAGAAGTAGATTTCAAACAGTGAAGTCTTACAGTGCATACACATTTCTAAATATTCACCCTGTTAGTTCTATTGCACCTTCTGTCAATTCAGTATAATATTCATCACACCACCTCTGAGACTACGTTTAGATGAGCTTAACGGGGAACTAACTACCATCCAAAAAATCCCAATCACATTGTTTCTGTAGAGAATACACAACAAGGCTAGCTAGGCTAGGTCCACATTTCTAAAAAATGTTAAAGAGGTACCCGACAGAGCCAGTTACCTCTAGTTCTCCTCGTATTCCTACCTTTTCCCCACTTCCAAAATTTCTTGATCTTAAATTTTAAGGCAATGTAAGGAATCCAGTATTTGCTAGGGTTTGGTCCTAGCGTGCTGCTCCACAGTAATGTACATACAGCACTCCCCTGTTCCTTGGTACACAAAGAAACCAATTTTCCCTCGTTGGTATTCAGCAAAGCTCCTGCCTTTAATTTTGAGGGTCTTGCACTTGCACAGTAACCAATTTATTGGCCTTTGGCCCTGGGAAAAATTGCGTGCTGTGAGTCTGAATATCCATACTACTCTACACTTGATCAGCCTGCACTAAATCTTGCTCCATCTTTTTCTGAGATCAATTAGAACAGAATGTCAAACTGTTGAACAAGTGTTTCAAGACTGACTACAAATCCTACAGAATCAGTCAGGTGAAACAAGCTTATAAAAAGATATGCAGGCATTAAGATTGGGTTTAAGCAACATGATGATCACCTTTTTTAAAACAAGTAACTACCTTTTCAAGCACTAATTATGCACTGGAATAAGTGCTCATCAAGTGAGCCTCCCCTTACTAATTAACAATAATAGACCTTGTCATCTGAGCAGTCGTCCTTCCCAGCTGCAGAAGCAGCCGGCTACCACGTTATCACAGTGATTTTCTATGCTGGCTAATTATGCTCAGAAGCTCTTCCCCTGCCAGCTCTTTTTGCTTCTCTGTTGCTCATTTTCACTCAGATCTCATACTTCTAATTATCTGCCTGGCTGTAACTATCAAGTCTGCAACACTTACATGCAAACACTCTTCCTTCTAAAGGAGTAACTGAATTCCTTTTAGATTTCAAAGACTGCACCAACCTAATGACAATTTAATAACAGCTACACCTTAAACCATCCAATACTAAGCATTAAGGAGACTTTACATTAGACTGCACATTCCTGCAGCTCTTCCATCTATGTGGGTTAATCACCTTTATGTATGACTACCAAGAACAGACCAAGAGACCACTGGGGAATGTAACACCTTTTTCAAGGAAGGAGGCTCCCAGTCTCCCAGCAGAAGTACAGGAGAGAGATTTCAACTAATCAACTCTCAACACATAATGAGACATTCACTAGCACATGCCACAACACAACCCTTTTCTATCCTGCAGCCATCACTGCTGTAATTTCAGGTTTTAAATAAAGTTGTGTCATTTTTAAATTAAAAAAAAATCCTGAAAACATAGGGTGCTTCTGAAATAGTCAATCATGTACTATTTTTCTGCCGGAGACTGGAGCTGGGGCAGGAATCAAGAAGAAAATGAACGAACCCTGATACCAATCAATTTCATCCCTGATGATGCCATCCAGGGTCTCACCCTCCAGCCACAGCAAACTCCACAAAATCTGCCTCGCCAAGGCAGACCCAAATCGCCCATCTTTACAGTAAAGCTGCTCCTCCTGTAGCTATTTCAATTCTTACTATCTCCACTGTGCTTTTGATAAAGCGTCATGCCCAGGTCAGAGACAACAAACAACAGTGTTGGATATCACAGCAGTAAGACAGACTCCAGCAGCTCTGTCACAGGGTGTTTAGACACATCCCTGTGATAAGGTGTCTATGTAAAACAGTTATAAAGCTGCAATTCACATCTAAATACCTACAGCATTTTGTGGTAACAGTAACCTGAACGCACTTCATGATCTACACTAACTTCCATACCAGATGGAGTGATGAAACTGAGAAAACTGAACGATTAAGCAGCTTCCAACAGCCAGCTGAACTGACATGAACTCTGATTTTTGCTCTTAAATCTTATGTTTTACCTGTAACAACTGCATTTCCTGGGCCTTTCTGACAAATTTCTCACCTTCAAACACTGTCCAGTTGTCTTGCAGGTATTTTGACATCTTCTGTAATCCTTTGTCATCAGTTACAGGCTGGGAAAAGAAGGAACATCGCATAATATTTTAGGAATAATAAACAATGTCATGTTTCACACCACACTGGACAATTAAACAGCTCTCAGATGAGTACAGTGTAAGGAGAGTGAATGTAAGCCCTCCATGATGTCTTTTAGGCTCCTTTTTTCCAGAACTGCTATAGAAACCTGGCCTGAGATCATCTGTTCTGCTGGGGAACCTTTGCTGCTTGAAGGAAAAGAAAATGCATTCCCACTTACTAATCTGTGAGGAAAAGGACTGTCAGAAGGAACACGTAAGCATCAAAAAAGTTTCATTTACAACCACTTCACTACTATATCATAATTAGCTGGGAACTTACAAGGATAGCAGAAGAGTTTCCAGTTGTTTAATACACTATTACAGCGAACTTGATAGCACATCCCTCAAATATGACTCCCTGTTCGCAATGAAAATAAAAATCCCCTAATGCTTCCAGAATGCTTTGTTCCCCCCAAAGGATCCCTCAGAGGCAGGCACAAGGAAGGCTGTGTGGAAATCATTCCTGAGCAAACCACAAAGGGATTTCATTGTTTTGTAGGTTTTTTTTAAATAATCAAGTGTAGTACACAGAAAGCACAGGCAATGATATAAAGTACTGAGTACAACTGCTGACAACCACTCTGCTCAATCCCACTATGCCAGATGTTAGCTTTACCAGAGAAGAGCCTGGTATTCATAACAAGATCTCAGCGCCTTTGCGTTATACACAGGTGAAAGAAGTAGAATAAGATGTGTATTTATGACTTTTGCTCAGTCTCAAGATTGAGGGAAGTGTGCCACTTAGCTTTCATGGAGCATAGTTTACTCCATTTTTGTTATGGCCTCAAGACAATGCAAAACATTCAGGATGTTAGCATAACAGAAGTATCTACCTTCCACTCTCCATCACATGGTCTGTACAAGTGAAGAGGAGCTTCCCTGTCTTCCGACAAGACCCACAGATCTCCCGTCTCCTCAAACGCGATGTCCCAGATTTTATGTTTCAAAGAGATCTTCTGTCTGTGAACTAGCTGTTGGGCAATGGCATCAAGCTGAAAGACGTAGACTGCGGGAATACTTTCGAGAGAAAAAAACCTAATTACCATTATTACCAAATCCACCCACAGCCATCACTCGTACAGCAAACTACAACCACCCACTCTAATTCCAAGAAGAGCCAAAGCAAAATCATTAGGAATTACAAAAAATGCCCTAGTACTTCAAGTGCAGTTTGCTTACGTGATCTGAGGCAGAAGCTGTGAATACCTAACACGTCAAATGGCTTCTCAAGTGTTACATAAAAGAAAAAGCATTCAATGCTGCCTTTTCTTTAAAACAAAAGGTAGTAAAGGGAATTTCATAAGGATTACTAAGGATTTATATAAGGAGTGTTGCATCACAGCACACTGGCCTATGGAGCTGCACTTGGAGGAACATCTAGCTGAGCACCAGTCAAAATAAAACAGGAAAGGAACTACATGCTAGGGAGGAGGGAATGAGAGGGGCAGGAAACCTCAACACGGCTGAAGAACAGGACTCTGGCACTGCACTCATCTCCGTCTCTCCCATCAGCACTCACTCCTCAAACAGCCCCAGCATCTACAGGCAGGGCTTCCTAACCTCCCTTGGACAGGTCCCCAGTGTGCCAGCCAGGACACTTCAGCTCCCTCCTGAGCTGCCCACCAGGTCCATGTGACAGCGCTGTTCAGAAACGCTGGGCTGTGGAGCTGGAAATAAAAGCCTGATGCAGAGCAGAGCGTGGCCCCTGGGCTGAGTGACACAGGCCCAGCCCTCGGCTGACATGGCTTCCCTCTCCAGGGCCAGTTTGGTTGCCCATGGAGAAGGTGTGACGGGAAGCAACTACGGCTCCTCGCTCTGCCAAAGAGCGAGTTTACTGAGCAGACAGAGAGCCGATTTCACCACACAAGTGGCTCTGGCAATCTCTCCCTTTCCTGTTGGCAAGCTTTTGTCAGGAAGAACAGCTTCCTTGGCAGGCTTAAGGTGCTGTGGAAAGAGAGAGGAAGAGGGCTCATTCATTCCCTCAGGACATTTTCCCGCCAGTTGGATTTGTAAGGTTCCCCCACGCACGGGCCCTTCAGCTCCTGAGTGTTCTCTCCTTCCGCAAAAACACGTACATTTGAAACCAAAAGTCAATGTAGCCTCTCCACACGTCTAAACTGAAGCAACTGTGGTTTTAAACAGAATGGCCAAACACATTTACAGGAGCAGGAGACGGTAACAGAAGCTTGGTACCACAGCACTGAACAAAATGAGACCCAAAACACACGGGTCAGGCACAGTGATTTTGGGAGACAGCCTAGCACTGAGCAGGGCTCTCAGTCATCCTAGCCTTGTGTTTCCTCCCGTGAGGGAAAGCCATCACAAAGTCTGCAAAATTTAATTAAGCCGGGTAACCCTCGCACTCACCTCTGCACTCAGACCAAGTACAATAAGGACTCAGAGGCTCCCTGAGAGGCCAGAGGCATGCCTGGGATGCTCGGAGATCCACAGGACCAAGTACTTCAGGCTAGGGGAAAGTTCAGACAGCCAACAGGGAAAACTGCCCTTGCCTGTACAGGAGCTGTGATGATTTTAGCCATTGTTCTATTTATTCTTACCGGTCACATAGAATGGCGACGTAACTACCTTCGCAGCAGTATGTTATTCTTGACACAGGGTATTTCTATTAGGAAAAGAAAAAAGAAACATCCTTGTAAGTTAAGACCATTTACGGACAGAAAATTCACACTCCATTTCTTGTCTTAGCCTATGAAATTTAGCAGATGTCTAAATTTACAGTAATTGTACCGTCTACTGAATTGTAGCAGCATTTGTTGTTTTATGAAGTTTTCCACACTTTTCCCTTCACAGCCACCCAAACAGAGATCAAATGGAAAGGTTTTAGTAAACTACTCTTAACAGACAAACTAAGAAATACAGTAAAGTACACCTCAACCATTCTCCCCTGCAATACTAATGGCAAAAACATCAACATTGGGTCTGCTCAGCCAGGACACCAACTGGCAGCTTAGAGATTTTTAACACAAGCCATTAGCTGCTGTTATGTTTGTGGGGAAAAAAAAAAAAAAAAAAAGAAGAAGAAGATAGTGATGCATAGCTAATATCCTTGCTGCATTGTCTCTGTTTTCAACCTGTGCCTGGGTGAATCCATACTGCTTAACTGAAAATGTGTTCTGAAGAACAAAGCAAGACTGCCTGAGGCCATTTTCCTCATTAAAAAAAAAAAGCTCAAACCAGAAAAAAAAATCCCACACCCAACAATAACAAAAAACCCCCACACCACACTCCTAATTTAGAAGATGCACAGCTTTTTCTGGGAGAGAATCAGAGAAATACCTTTGCTGCACAAACCATACTGCTTGAAATATGTAACAACTGAAGCCCCTTGAGAGGGAAGTAAGAACTTGGGAGGCACAGAGGAACTGCAAGAAGATGCCCTAGGCATCTTTTTTCAAAAGTATCTGTTATATAATGGGAAAGACAAAGCTGTGAAGGCAAAAGACTGGTTCTCAAGTAGATTTTATAAGGAGCGATAACACCAGCACTTCTGATTAATAAAACCTTCCTACTAGAGAAGTAGTGAGTTACTCACTTTAGGGCAGGGAAAATACATCTTTTCTTGACACTCCGCTGGCAGAATTCAGGTGCCTCCTCAACTTTTCTTCCTTTTACCCCCTTTCCAGCCTTCACCTCTTTCCCTAACACCACATTGGTCACTAGGCAGAACCTCTGGATCACCAGGCGAAAGCTGAATTTGGGAGTAACCATGGGATTTTACCCTTTAAGCTATCAGCCGATGTTTGGGCAGTCTCAGGCTGCTTGTTTCAGAATTTTGCAATCACTGCTGGACAGTAAAGCAAGCTGCACAGCTTCCAAACATTCAAGTCAGCAAGCTTAATACCAGAAGCTAACTATTTTGTCAACAGTACATGATGCAACTACTAAAAGATAAACCAACTGCAGGAAAGAAAGTTAATCAATGGTATAAATATAGCTGAAAACCAGAGTTACACAGTACATCTCCAGCACATAAAGGTCCATTGTGTGATACAATCTCATGGGGGAAGCAAGAACAACAGCATGCACTCACATACTTGACTGCCTGTTTCGATAGAAGAGGAGCTCTTTATTAAAAACATTATCAAAAGAATGATATGTTTCAGAGCTCTTGGGAACAGATGGGACTAATCTCTTCCTACTCTGCAGAAATACTAAGCTGTTAGTTTATATTTAGCATTGGGACCCAGGGCCCCTGTTTAAGACGGACATAAAAAATGCTTATGGTTCCAAATACAGGGTAGGATGAGTGGGCTGAATCAGAAAGGTTCTCTGTGGCTAATACATCTAAATGTAGTTATTGCAGCATGGAGCCACTTACACTGCAGCTTTGGAGCAGAACTGACAGCTCTTATTGTAAACCACCAGTGGGTTCTTTAGACATTCAATGGAATAAGCCAAGATATATATTAAAAAAACCACCAAACCTGTGATATTTATTTCTAATAACAAAGCTCTGCCTCTCTGCCTGTCTCATGACAAACACACAGGGCAAGTGCAGCAATGGGAATTGCCCACCTACGCAGCTGAGTGCTTTGTCAGAGAGACAAAGGGTTCCGTGAACTTGGAAGAATGCAGCAGCTCTCCCCCACCCTCACTGGGGGAGGGAGGAGGAGGCTTTTCTTGATTTGAACCAAGTGTTATTCACAGCTGGACAGAGACAAGAAAATGCATCTTCTTTGCAAGCTCTTTCCTTTCCATGTGTGAGCAAGTTAACAATTAGCGAAGTCAATGCAAGCCCCAGAGTGGTATCTAGTTCAAGGACAAGCCTACAAAATCAGTTAACTTAAAGAACAGCTACAAGAGAAGTCTGTGATAAATAGATGTTTGCTTGATACTCTATGAACTTATTCAGCATTTATATGACTCTGTTATCAGCCTGCCAACACCTAAAAATTAACTTTTAATGTCATCCGTGAGAAGAGGTGAGCCTATTTAATGTACTGAAACACTGGGGTAGAGTTGTGCAATTCACGTTCTGGACTTTAAACAAGCTTCTGCTGTCAAGAGGATCAGATGAGGTGAAAGCTCCAAAGCAGGAAAAAATATTTATATAGCACTACAAAATTAGAGAATTACTCCCATTCTAGTGGGAAAATGAACTCGGGATCTGCAACCCATCAACTGAGACCAATGCTACACTGCTCAAAACCACTCCTACATTCCCAAAACAGACATATATTCATCATTTGCCAAGCATAATAAGCCCACACTTATGTGCTCTCATGACCCACTACGACAGAAGATTCCATTACCATTGTGCTTCAAGTTGTGTTTGAAGCTTCAGTGCATTCACAGGGGTTATCAATAGTTAAAATGAAATGCAACACAAAACAAAACAAACCATTTATACACCTATCTGATCTTTGGTTGCCAGGGTCATTTGCAGACAGCATGCTAGATACAGTCCAAAAAGTGCTGACGAGAGACTGTTCCCTTAAATTCAGACTATAAATGTCACGCCAGGTTGGGAAGATGATCTTTGATACACCTGGATGCACAACACAACTAAATACTACCAACAGACGTCATCTCTGGCATTTGTAGCACTACGATGTCAGCGAAACACAAGTCTCCTCTCCCCTTTGGTCCTGCTGGCCAGCAAGATAGTAATTGTTCTGACAGAAGTATGTATTTACAGCTGTGTAGCAATACAGCACAAAGGTGGCAAGGCACCACATTAAAGTTTAAATCTGTCATTTATCTGTCTGTAATCAGTGGAACACTGCCCAATCACTGCAACTCTGGAAGTCAACTGAGTCTTCCGCACCCCTCATGCATCATGCAAATTTTGTGTCATTGGAAGATAAGAGTTTAAAAAGCCTGTAAGAAGAGTGGACAGCAGAATTTTGCAAATTCAAGGAATCCCAAGGCTTCCACAAACACCATTAGGAAACACTAAAACATGCCAATGAGTAGCAGAACTGCAAAATACTGCAGGAATACAGTTTACTAACGAACATGTTATATCTGTGAACTCAAGTTTGTGGGTTTTCCCTTTCTCTCACTGTTTACTCACACTGAGGTATAGCAGCTAAACAGAGACTTCTCAGTCAAAGGGAACCCCAACTTTCTACTGAGAGACTCCATCAGTACACAGCATATCCTATGGAAGGGACTTTGTCAAGTGTGTTAGGAGGCAAGAGAAGTACTACTAAACTACATTCAAAAGCATTCTAAGAGAGTTGGAGCTTTTTGCCTTTTTTTTTTTTAAAGTTCATTTTTAAATTAGTTCCTGCTTGCAGCAAGAAGTTTTTTTTCCTCCAAAATTTGTTAGCTTATGCAGTGCTACATTCAAGGCTTAATATACAGTTTAGTATTATTTTTGATCAACTTGTTTGTAAGCAATGGACTTAGGATGCAGTGTGAGATCAAGCACTGTTAATTTACATGCAAGTTATCTTACAAAATGCTAAGCCAGTCTAAGCAAAAAGTAGCATTTTTAAAATTAATAATAGGATTCCCCACTTCACAGCTAGTTGCTTACTAGTCCTCAATGATCCAATAAAGCTAAAAGGCAAAGTATTTTAATATTAAACCATTCTTCCCCCAAAAAGAAATGCCTTGCAACATTACTGCAGACATGGATTTGACAGCTATCAAACTATGCTATTTCAAAAGAGCACAACACTAGAAAACTTTGGTTTTGAAAGTCCCTGAGACACTTACTTCCAGAAGGCTATACATGACAAAGTAATTTTGTGTATTTGCCTCTATCTTAATTCTCCCTTCCTCACCCAAACCCTGCTGCACCCAGACTACAAGAGGACACTGGCTATGTGGACTTGTTCCCTAAATCGGTACATGTTCTTGCTTGTGAAAAAAAAAACAGCAGTAGCTACTTCAAAGATATCAAGCCATAGACTCAACCTGAAACGAGCCAGAGACCTCATGAATATCTAGGAGAGGTCTCTGGCTCAGGTGTGCTTTAATTTTTAAGTTCAGAAGCAGGTTAAACTGTCCATATAGATACTACCCTGAATTCCTGCTAACAGGAATTCTAGGCAAAAAACAAAATTTCCAGTATCTAAGCTTGGAATGCTGTGATGCAAACAGCTGCTCTCCTGGGCTTATGTACAGACAGAAAGCTGCATGTTATTACTCCAACACGAAGAACAACTTGCTGATGTCAGATTATTACTCCAACACGAAGAACAACTTGCTGATGTCTTCTCCGTAGAAACAACCTCTGTCAGATCTGTCCCTAGGAACCTGGTCCTTCCATGTGTTGTGCTCCCACTTCAGTACCTGGGAATCCCACTACCAAGATCAGGCCAGACCTACACAAACAGTAAAAGAGTAAAGAATCTCTGAGAGGTCTCCAGGAATAGCTCCTGACTGCTGGGAGAGGCTGTGCACAACACACTTTGACTAACCAAAACCACAACAGAACACAAGGGGGGAGAGACAGAACTTTTCAATCCAATTTCGGCCTGGATATGAATTCCACAGTGGTTCTGCCTAAGAGTCATGCATGGCTACAGGCTTCTCGCCCACCTAACAACTGGGAGACAGCTGTGGTCTTCAGAGAAATAAATATTTTTAGAGATTCACATGAAAAAAACACACCCAGCAGCATGGGTGGTAAAATGAATAACTCTTAAATGACTCAACAGATCGGCAACTGGCTTAATATCATGTACACAGCAGGGTACACAGAACAAGTGCTGTTTCACCAATAGGTTGCATGCATATTCACATGACAAGAAAGAACAGAACCAGAGATCAAGTACTACCACAACCACTGTTCACATCAGATTAGCACCCAAAACACAGCAGCACCCCAAATATGTACGTATCATACACTCAGTTAGAGGCTGCAGGATAAAGGAGATCTCCTGGAGTATTCAGTTTTCATGTGGAACTTGCACACTTTCATTCCAGACACTGCGCAGCTTCAGAGCCCAAAGGAACAAGCCCAGTATTTTGACTCCACGGGGCAGTACTACTGCAGGTGATTGGGTATAAACATAACAAAGCTTCTTTTTGTTCAGATAAAATTTCAAAGTGTTAAAGGTGCAGTTTAAGTAGTTCAAAAGTGGGTGAATTTTTAGATCTTCCCAGTGTTACAGGTTATTTTCTGGTGAACAGACTTTCTTTCCCAAAATCCCAGGCTTTTATAACAGTTTCTAGGTCTCACATAACTTCCAACCCCACTGAAAGAAGGGAGGCACTCCTAACAAAATGCAACAAACGTGTTTGGGAGCCACAAGGATCAAGAGGACAGCAAAAACACCAACACACATGGACATACCTGGTCAGGTTTTGTTGTCTCTGACCCACAGATGCTACTTAGATGACAGCAGTACACTTCTTCCCCGCTTTTGTACTCCCAAAGTCTCAGAGTCGAGTCCTGAAGAGACAGAAGTGGACACAAGTCGATTACTAACAGCACCTCAGGCAAAGAGAGGCTTTCAGCTAAATCCCATTTCCCTGAAGAGCTTCCCACAGAAGCTGCTAAATAGTCACTTAGTTAAGACCTCAAACAGATAAAGCATTTTAATTAACATAATTTTTCACCTCAATTCTAAATTATTCAATCATGCTAACTTTAATTCTCCTTTTGAAGTGGAAATTGGGTAGCTGGAGGAGTGCATTTCAAGTCTGTTTTAAATAGTCCTGTAATACATGTGCTCAGCATTTTAATGGCAATTCTTTCAGGTTGCCCTTCTCTGGCCCTGCTCTTGTTATCACCCAAGTTCTCATTTGATTTAGTAACCTCCTGGAGAGAAGCTAAACACTTCTCTGGAAAAAGAGAGTCATCAAAGAGCATTTGCTTAGAACGAAATCCAGCTGCAGACAGCACTAACACCAGAGTTGCTTAAAGAATTAGAGGAACAAGAGACAAGAGCCTTAGGGAAGCAAGAGCAGCAGCTGAAACCAAATACTAAGAATTACTATGATCTTCACAGGAAACATTATTTGTTTCCTATGCAGTTCTGTTAGTCTGGGAAGCAAGGAATATTGTTTCCCTTCCTTTAGGCCAACTGCCATCTACCCATTCTGTACAGGTCTGGCACAACAGCAGGATCCCATCAGTTTAAGAAAAGGGCTGAGGGGCAGGAAAGGAGGGAACACTCGCTTCTTCAGTCCTCATCCAAGCAGTGTGTAGCAATGCACTGCAAACTCTACACAACACGCATCCAACAAACTGTGAGGACATAGAGACAAGGACATACTTCAGAACAAGTCTCACAAGGGAAAACAAGTGGGAGGGTGAAGAGGGACCAGTTTTCTTATCTTAAGAGCTCTAAAAAAAAATAAATCTAAGGCCATTAATTCTCAGGACACCCCATATCACGGCAGGCTGGCATAATATCCATTTGCTTCAACGTTGTTTAAATAGTACGATGATTTAAGTTTGTCTGTGCTGCAAAGCAAGAGTTAATGATGAAGACACATTGAGGACTTTACAATTTCTTCATCCCAGAGACCTTAACAAAAAGATAGCCTTACTGTAAACACAGTAAAAGGCAATTATATGATCTAGGAATAGAATGGCTGAAGACTGAACAGAAAGTTGAGAAAAGGAGAGAGGGAGAGAGAGGGCATGCTGGAAATCACAAGAGATTATTCCAAGTATCCCAAGGAACGTGGGGGAAACACAAGCAAACAATGGTTTTGAAGTCTAAACTTTCAAGAAAATTACTTTTTTGAAGAAATTGGAATACATACCCCAGAAGCTGACAACAGCAGATCAGGGTAGTTGGGTATTACAAGTATTTTGCTTACAAACCTAAAGGGAAAGCAGTCAAAAGTTGAACTCTCTTGCATGACACCAGTCTTTAAACACATACAATAAGAGAACATACCAATTTTAAAGAGGCTATTATAATAGACAACCAAACAGATACTCCACATCAAGCCACCAAAGAAGAAAAAGTATGTCTGCAGTACTTAGTATAGTATATATACTACACAAACTACTGACCTTCTACTTAATAGAAAAATTATTTCCCCACCTGCACTCAAGGAATTCTATTGACTTCCTCCCAACTGAGAGCACTTAGACCAAAAAATGCCAACGGAGATAGATTTATTCAGGTACCATGTTCTCCTTCCACAATTCATTATGCACATTAAAAACATGAATCACCAGATGCTTTTAAAACACAACAGTGATGATTCGGCTTTCAGAGTATTACATCTCTCCCATCCCAGCTGGAGATTACTCAAAAGCAATCTTCACTAAATTTTAAAACAAGCATGTGGCAATTTACCACCAGTGTCTACATTCAGCCAGAAGCCTTATTTTTCAGAAGTACCTCATATTGCTATGTCTACCATGACTTCCCTTTGCTGAGTGACGAGGACCTGAGCTTCTGGAGCTTTTTATTATCTGAGAGCTCAGCAACTTAAAATGTAGTGATTGGAGCAGAACATCACCTGAGAGAGACAGTAGTGCTTTTGAAAACAGACATAATTTTAAGGCTGTTTAAAAAAGAAAGAGAAAAAAAAATATAAGGAAGAGATTTGGTCACTGTAATACAAACTTTCATGACAAGGCAGTAATGGCGAGTGCACACAGGCGTAATAGATCCAGCAAAATCACCATGCACCCATTGAAAGAAGAAAATTCAAGAGTGTGAAACAAGACAATTATAGCTTCTCTATGTAATCCTTTGCTTATTCATTCCTAATTTAAGTATTGAATTTTTACAATATATTTCAATCAATTTACATTAAGTGCCTTTCCACTCTGTGGCCACTAACAAACTCTTTGAGCAGAAACAATAGCCCCCATTTAAAAGTGTCTTTCTAACCATCAAGTTCTATTAATTATAAAGTACAACTCTGTACACAGTAGGTGGAAACATCAGACATGGCTCTCTAAATATGCTATAGCAACTGACCTGATCAAAGACTACTTAGATCTTTAACATGAGTAGTCTCTTGCTTTTATACTATGCCAATTCTACACCGGTTAGACTACTAAATGATGCTATTAAAATCAGACTGGCACTCCAAATTAATCTGTGTCCTAAATGCTCTATTAAAACATCTGGGTGGCTAAGTTTAGACCCATATCTCAAGTCCCACACTATCTTTCTTTACTCTTGTTCTGATATAGGGAGCTTATTGTGCCATATTGCATCATCTTACGGAAGAACAGACCTGGAATGAGGGTGTTATCTCCAAATAACTCAGCGGCCAGAAAAGCAGAATTAGGTGCATTCTCTGCCCCATGCAGGGTCATCTCTTCTCTGCTACCTTGTCACTGTGGACTTCAAAAATGTAGCAGTGGCCACTCTAAAAAAAAAAAATCTGCACAACCCCCCTACCCTACTCAAAAACCCTAACAACCAACAAGAAGGCAAAAGTCAAGAGACTTTTTTAATACCACAACTGACAGACATTTTAAGCAGCAAAATGCAGAGGGAAAAGTCTTTTAAAAGTCTGCTTGCCATTTATGTCTTCTTCATGGGAAGGGACTACTGAGAAGAAAAGGGGAAGTACAGTCCCTCCTGTAGGCTGAAAATGGAGTCCTGATAAACTGGCTAGAAGACAACCCCTATTCCTATACCAAAAGGACAACCCATCTCCTAGCAAATCAGAGCACATCTGAATCACATCAGTAGAGCTAGCAGGTTGCTTTGCTGTCTTCCACTATAATTAGGAGGACTTCTATTTTAGGATGGAGGAGAAAGGAAAGGAAGGGAAAGATCATCTTTCCTGTTTTTATGCAGAGCGCACCCTGCATTTTACTAGACTTAGTAACACAGCAGAACATCATCTTTCTACAGGGATATCCCCTATGATCCACTTTCCACAGATCCTTTTACTTGCCTAAGTGTTCTTGCCCGTAGCAATTGAACCAATCTCTAGAAAAACACCAACTACTAGAAAGGCCCGGTAACTACACTAAGAAGGGTGATTTCTTGAATCTATTTTACAGGACCATGTTGCTGCCTCTAGCTCACTGCAGTCTAATATCCAGGCAGAAAGAGTGCTCTATCCTTCCTATTGATACCACTGGGTTTTTTTGTATTACCACAGAACCTCCAAGTCTGAGCTCAGTATCGAGATGCTGTTAGATTAGCATCTGTTCAAACTGCAAAGATTTCCTAAGACTTCCCTCCTTAAGATTAACAATCTCCAGGCTCTGTAGTCTCTTATGGGCAGCAGGTTGAGGGGGCTATTGTGTCCCTCTACTCCACTCCAGTGACACCCTATCTGGGCCCCAGCTCTGGGGGCCTCAGCACAGTGAAGACATGGATCTGTTGCAGTGCCTCCAGAAGACCACAAAAATGACCAGAGGGCTTGGAGCACCTCTCCTGTGAGGAAAGGCTGAGAGATTTGGGGTTGTTCAGCCTGGAGAAACCTTATTGTGGCCTTCAGTACTGAAAGGGGGCTTATAAGAAAGATGGAGACAGACATTTTAATAAGGCCTGTTGTGACAGGACAAGGGGGAATAGTTTTAAACTAAAAGGATAAATTCAGACTAGATATAAGAAGTCATTTTTTCAACATGAGGATGGTGAAACACTGGTACAGGTTCCCCAGAGAGGTGGTAGATGCCCCATCCCTGGATACATTCAAGGTCAGGTTGGCCAGGGCTCTAAGCAACCTGATGTAGTTGGCGATGGTCCTTCTTATTGCAGGGGGGTTTGACTAGATGATCTTTAAAGGTCCCTTCCAATCCAAACCATTTTATGATTCTAACACAGACCTAGCTGTTGTTTAACGTGATTTGAGCAGACAATCGTTTCATCCATTGAGGCACAGCGAAGAGCTACATACAGTAACGTTTGCACACAACAAACTTACTCTCTGTGTCCCAGACAGAAGGACACAATATAATAAGGAGCCTTTGTCAAGCTGACTCTGATCTTCTCATCTCTGTCTGCAGTGAGGATATATTGGTCATCAGGACTCAGTGCCTGTTGGTAAAGGGAGAGTTTTAGTGCCCAGTAGTTCAATGTTTGTTTTAATATAATTCTTCCTAGCCATGAGGAAAAAAAAAACCCCAAAACAAAAAACACATACAAGCAGTAAACTATCTGTCCTGATCCTCAACAGCAGATGCAAGCACCAAGCCACTCTTTTCCACTGACATTAGAAGCATAAATCTTTATGACAGTAACTTTCTCACTTATTAAGACAAACAACACTGACCACGAGGTCCAGTGAAAGCCACTGAGCTCCCAAGCTACAGGCAGAAGTCCCACTGCAACTTAAAAAGAAAGAAACTTATCACGTTGAAGAGCTCAACTGACATGACAGACTGGGTGAATTCCCATATCATCAAGTCTTCTGTGGCTGTAAGATGAAGACTCTTTGAACACTCGCACTCCCAGAATATATAACCCTTTGGTAAGCTTGTTTCCTTACCAAACTCTGCAAATGCAAACTCAGTAGGGAGAAATCCACACCACATACTTCAGTTATATAAAAGAGAACGCCCAAATTTCAGACAAGAGCAACAGTGAAAGACCCAAACACAAGTAGGAATGCAGGTTTGTACACTAACTTGTACACTTAAGGCACATACTTACCACATCCAACAGCAGAGACAAGTGACCCAGCTCAAGTTTTCCTTCTGCTTGGGGTTCTGTTATTGAGTAAGAATAGACATCACCAGACTTGTCCGCAACCAGAATCTTATCATCTGCAGCTGTAATTATCAGGGAAGTGCATCTCCTTTTCACCAACCTGAAATAGAAAAAGGCATAGTTTGAACAGAGTTGGATGGCAGCTTCAGCAAGTCTGGATTCAGACCCAGTTAAGCAAACCAAGGGACTAGATGAAAAGCTCCCAGATGTAACATTGTTGAAATGGCAGCAACAACAATAATGTTAAGGGGCCAAAATAGCACTTTTGAGACCTATTAAATGACTAATCTATGTAATAGCAAACACCTGGGGAGGTGGGAGAAAAACAGAGACATCGTTAAAGCTGCATGCCTGCATTTCGCTTGTGTACTTCCTCAACTGAGCATTTAGCTTAGGCAGCCCGACAGAAAGATGATAGACTTTCTTGCACTCTCTGTAATAAAATAAAAGTTAAACATGTAGGAAAGAGAAGACAAAGTGGGAATTCTGCTAGTAAAAGTCCTTTGCAGCAACACATCTAAAAGCTATATTGAAACTGTTTCTCCAGTTGCTGCTTGATACTATAAAAGGGGCCTCAAGGACGACTCCTCCTCACAGCCAGCGTCAGAGACACAATCTCAGGGTACTTTCTCCAGGCAAAGACCTGAACTTGAACTCTGATTTGCCCTCAACATCTGCCAGTACCTTACAATTCCAGTTGCCAGTATAGCAGATAATGAATTTCTTACAATTTTCAGATAAATTTAAGGACCACAGATGTCAGAAAACAAGTAATTAAAAAGGTTTAATCACTTAGGTAGTCTGGAGTATGCTTTTACAACTTACCTGCTATTGTTATTACTGTTATTGTCTTCTTTCCATAAAGCCCATTTTCCAAACCCCTCTGTGTTAACATAGGACTGTGGACACCAGGGATCATCTAATCATAGAATGGTTAGAGCTGGAAGGGACCTTAAAGATCATCTAGTTCCAAACCCCCTGCCATGGGCAGGGACACCTCCCACTAGAGCAGGCTGCTCAAAGCCCCATCCAGCCTGGCCCTGAACACCTCCAGGGATGGGGCATCCACAGCTTCTCTGGGCAACCTGTTCCAGTGTCTCACCACCCTAACCCTAGAGAATTTCTTCTTAATACCTAATCTAAACCTTCCTTCTTTCAGTTTAAAACCATTACCCCTCATCCTATCGCTCCACTCCCTGATAAAGAGTCCCTCCCCATGTCTCTTGTAGGCCCCTTTTAGGTACTGGAAGACCACTATAACTCACCACCCTAACCCTAAAGAATTTCTTCTTAATACCTAATCTAAATCTTCCTTCTTTCAGTTTAAAACCATTACCCCTCATCCTATTGCTCCACTCCCTGACAAAGAGTCCCTCCCCATGTCTCTTGTAGGCCCTTTTAGGTACTGGAAGACCAACTCCAGAGGTGGACACAGTACTCCAGGTAGGGTCTGAAGTGGGGATGATAGGGAATTGACATTTCTATTCACCAACTCTGAAACTCAGTGACCATCTGGAGACAAAAGAAGAGCTGGACACAGTACTCCAAGTGGGGTCTGAAGTGGGGATGATAGGGAACTGACATTTCTATTCACCTGCTCTGAAATTCAGTGACCATCTGGAGACAAAAGCACAATACACTATACTTCAGGCAGGAAGACAGAAATTCTAATACTTTTTAGTGACTGTTTAAAGGAACACTGTAACAATGGCAAAAGATGTAAGACAAGGATGCCCACTAGCACATCGAAGGCTCAGGCAGCACAGTTTCAAAATAGGTTACCTTGCCAACAAGATAAAGCCTTGCTTCAAGTTCATTGTGCTGCCTTTGATCTTAAACACAAAGATTCAAAAGCTCCCCTTGTCTGAAATCAGCTGACTACAAAAGCTAGCATTGCCTGAAACCTTTTATATGCCTTGCCACAAAACACTGACACAAGTTACATAGCTCAACTTTGGCATTCTTTGCCTGTATTCCAAATTTCCTAATAGGAAGTAGCAACATTCCCAAAATATCCAGTTGTGGCCCTAGTTGATCCTTCTGTAAAAACTGAAACATCAATTCTCTAATGGTGTATTACAGGCAAGGCATCCAGGGCAGGGCAGCAAGGAAGACAGAACACAGACTGAACAGAATTTGCTGTTTCTGGGACAGGTTTTTTTTTGTGATTACTTACTCATTACAGCAAAATATCCAGTTGTGGCCCTAGTTGATCTTTCTGTAAAAACTGAAACATCAATTTTCTAATGGTGTATTACAGGCAAGGCATACAGCGCAGGGCAGCAAGGGAGACAGAACACAGACTGAACAGAATTTGCTGTTTCTGGGAGGGTTTTTTTGGTGATTACTTACTCGTTACAACATTGGTTAACCCACCAAAGGTCCATCATGCACTCTTTGCACACAGCCAAGCTGACAGAGACTCCATTTTGGTTTGTAACCAGGGCTTCACACATGTCAGAGACCACCAGAAGCAGAGACATCACACACTGAGGTACCTCCTTAAGAAGTCCTTCATGGGTCCTCTTTTTACAACTGTCACAAGCAGCAGCAACAGAAAACTTGTAACTGGAGGACCTCTGGTGGACAGTTACAGACTCTTTTCTCAAGAGGATCATACTACAGAAGGGAAACACTTGGCAGCATGTCTAAAGATATGATTTTAGGAGAGTTCACAAACTCCTCAAAACATCTTTGTCTCCAAATCAACAGAATCGGACAGTGCACTCACTAAATTCCTCAGTATTAGTGGAGGCCCAACCTCAATGTTCACCAGGAGTGGGTAAAGTTTCAGTTCTTAAAGATGCAAATACCATCTTCTGGAATAATAAAAGAGATTATCCTTTCCTTGGCCAATGATATAAACATCTACACTCCCATTCTTGGGGTGGGGCATACCACGCATCACTTCTTGACAAATAGCTTTGAATTCCCAAGAACATTAGATTTGTTTGAGCAAGTAGAGGAGAAAAAAAAGAAAAAGAGGAGGCTTAGTGATAACAAATGGCAACATCCTAAGTACTACTGTTTTATAACTTCCATTTAATCAGCTGTAATTCCATAACAAAGTGACATGTAACTGCTTCCTTACCTGACACTAACGCATTCCCAGGAAGGCTTCGTATGGAACAGAATCAGACGTTTGTTGTCATCTGTCAAGGCAAAATAATCTCCTGATGGGGAGAAGGCAAAAGCTAGGATGTCGTCACTGCCTTTATCTGTTGGGTTTCCATCCTGTCTAATAGAGAGAAGGGGAACAACAGTTTACAACCTGAGAGTTACTGAAATCCGTAAGAAGAGAAGGTTGTTCTCACACCACCGAGAAGCATGACAAACAAAGCACAAAGCTAAAAGTTGTATTTGTGCTTAAAAATGTTGAGTCAACTTGAATATTAATGCAAAGAAAAAAGCCAAGAAAAAGGAAACTGATATAAGGTCTAAGGCTGCATCATTACTTGCTTAAAAAAACATGCTAGGGTTTGCACTATCAGATATTGATACACATTTAGGGGAAAACAGTAAAATTGGCTATAGGTAAAACCACGCCCACAAGTCGAATCAAGACTAAGACTTTTTCAGTTTTTGAAATCTCATGACTTGGAGACTAGAACCCAAAATAAAATATACAAACCAGTACACAACTCCTTTTGTCTTAGATGGTCTAATAAAAAATATAGCATTTTTCCATAAATGTCTTGACCAAGAAGAGTCATGCAGAGATGAAACACCATATACTACTGGTGTTTCTCTAAAAACCAAAAAATACAGTCTCTCTTCTGGTTGAAACAGAAATAAACAAAAATTACATACATACATATCCATCAGGGTTAGCAAAAACAAGCTAGCCATCACCTGATCAAGGAGTCATCCCACAACTTTATTTTATTATCCTTACTGCCACATAACCTCAGAAGGAGATGCACCCTCTAGGAAAACAGCGGATTGCCTAAGCAGATTTTCTTACCGTTTATTTCCTAAGGTCTTCTCCGCGTTGATGCAATCATACACGAAGAGATTATCATCACTGCAAATGAAAAACAACAGATTAAAAATACTAGAACTAGAACAACCACGGGCTTAGCCACAGAGAGTGTCAACTCTTTTGTAACACAATATTATTTTGTGGTTATTTGTGCAACTGACCCCCATCTTGAGAAGTAACACCCACCCAAAATGGGCTCCCAAAGTGCTACAAATGCAGTTGAAGTTTAAAACCTTGGCTTGTACACACATGCCAAAAAAAAGTCACCTGTTGGTGAAGTAGCTGTCACATTTAAAGGTTAATATATTTGTAACGGTAACTCTTTTCTCTGGTGGAGTCATTCAATAGTGCTAACAGCCAACGTATTCACCTAGATTAACATATATTTGTGATTTTATTGTGAGGGGTGTCATAGAATGGTTTGGGTTGGAAGGGACCTTGAAGACCATCAAGTTCCAACCCCCCCACCCTGGGCAGGGACACCTCCCACTAGAGCAGGTTGCTCAAAGCCCCATCCAGCCTGGCCTTGAACACCTCCAGGGATGGAGCATCCCCAACTTCTCTGGGCAACCGGTTCCACAGGTTAACTTCCCACCCTCTCCTCTGGTACCATCAGAAAGTTACAAAGAATGTGTCAGCAGAAGCTCTGGGGTTATAAAACCGATCATCACTGCCTGCCCCAGCAAAGGTAAAGGTGTCAGATCTGCGTATGTTCTGTCAGACACTTCCAGTAACAGGAACAGGCAGAGATTTGCCAACATTTAACAGAAGTTGTTGATGGTGCCCAGAGGTTAAGGCAGGCTCTTCGTCCTTGTCCTGGGCTACGCTAAATTAAAATAGATGTGATTTATGGGATAGGTGCGAGAAAGCATAATTAAAACAGGAGACAGCAGAGTACTAAACTGCAAGAGTGCACTCTTTCCTGGGTCTTTCTACATCGGGACGTGCCTCAACGTAAGACAATACATACTTATAAAGGCTTAACGTATTTGTCCCTACCATTCACCCTGCTGTTCTCGCACCGGTGAGGTGCACAACCGTGTCAGAAAACCGTTAAGAATTTAAAGCTTTAAAGCGATATATCAGTCACAGGACGGACACACACACAGGACAGACACACAGGGGACAGAGGGACACACAGGACGGACACACAGAGGACAGAGGGACACACACACCCCGCCTAAAGCCCCGCGGCCTCCTCCGCCGCTCGGCCCCGGGGCCCATCCCGCCGCCACCGCCGCCTCCCCGGCACTGACCCGGCCTCCCTGTACCGCGCCGCCAGGAGCCGGCCTCCCCCGCTGGCGGCCATGAGGGCCCCGCGGAGCGCCAGCGCAGGACTGACACCGGGGCTACGGCCCCCGCCGCCACCACCACCACCCTCCATGCGTCAACACCGCCACGTGCGCGCCACCGCGGGCGCAGAATGCAGACGTCACCACGGGAAGCAATGACGTCATTGGAGGGGGCGGAATCTCATGGCTTAGGCCTCGCCTAGCGGGAGGGACCGGCAGCCGCGTCCGGGCGTAGGCCAAGATGGCGGCTCCCTCGCTGCTGGGCTGCGGCCGGGCGGTTACCCGCAAGGTAAGGGGCGCGCTGGGCGGCGGGGGCACGGAAGAGCTCGGCTTATCTCGGTGGCTTGTACCGGGCCGGGCATCGCCGCTCCTCCGGGCCCTTTGTGCCGGCACCGGTACCGGCGCCACAGGCCCGGGGAGGGGAGGTGCGCATGCGCCGCCCCGCCGGGACGGGGAAGGGGGGTGGTGTCCCGGCCTCCTCGGGGCTTCTTGGATTGGGGGGGGGATCGGAGTTGTTCTGGTTCGTTCATTTGTTTCCTTCTGTGCCTTGCAGGTGTTGGGGCTGGAGGCCCGGGGGCTGCGAGAGGCGGCCCCCTCGGCGGCGCTCTGCACCAGGCCTGTGGGCTCCGGGACGCCCTCGGCGGCGCCACCGAGTAAGATGCTTGTTTGTCCCTTTGGTTGTCATTAAGTCATAGAATTGTTTGAGTTGGAAGGGACCTTAAAGACCATCCAGTTCCAACCCCCCTGCCCTGGGCAGGGACACCTCCCACTAGAGCAGGCTGTTCAAAGTCCCATCCAGCCTAGCCTTGAACACCTCCAGGGATGGGGCATTCACAGCTTCTCTGGGCAACCTGTTCCAGTGTCTCACCACCCTAACCCTAAAGAATTTCTTCTTAATATCTAAATCTACCCTCTTTCAGATTAAAAACTGTTACTCCTTGTCTTATCGCTCCACTCCCTGATAAAGAGTCCCTTCCCATGTCTCTTGTAGGCCCCTTTTAGGGACTGGAAGGTGGCCGTAAGTCTTTCTGAAGCCTTCTGCAGGCTGAACATCCCCAGCTTTCTCAGACTGTCCTCATAGGAGAGGTGCTCCATCCCTCTCTTCATCTTCATGGCCCTCCACTGCACCCATTCCAACAGGTCCATGTCCTTCTTATGTTGGGGCACCCCCAGAGCTGGATGCAGTACTCCAGGTGGGGTCTCATGAGAGCGGAGTAGAGGAGCAGAACCACTTCCCTCAACCTGCTGGTCATGATGCTTTTGATGCAGCCCAGGATCCACTCAGCTTTCTGGGCTGCCAGCACACATTGCCAGCTCATGTTGCGCTTCTGATCAACCACCATCCCCAAGTCCTTCTCCTCAGGGCTGCTCTCCAGCCATTCTCTGCCCAGCCTGTATTTGTGCTTGGGGTTGCCCCGACCCAGATGTAAGACCCTGCACTTGGCAAGAAAAGCTTAAAAATGCTCATGGCCATATTTCAGAACAGCTGCTACATGTGCCAAGAAAGTGAAAGGTCATCGCCTTGTAAACAGGGATTTCTGTTCAAATGTACTACATAGTAAAAAAACCTAAAACTAAATGTCTGGTAGGAGTGAATCTGTGTAGGATATATTTATATATAAATAAATAGCTATGAGCTTGACACTTTCCTGTTTATCTTCACCTTAATATGTTAGCTGCTGTGATGCTTGGCCAGGCTGAAAGACGGCTATCGTTGCATTTGTCTTAATATAAAGAAGCTTTGCAAGTTGCCTGAAATCTGATGGAAACGAGTGCAGCAAGTTATTTTTTAAATGAGGTGCAAAATCTGGTTTTGAACTTCAGATGTTCCCCCTTGTCTTTCAAAATGTTTAGATTACGAGGATCAAAAAGTATTCCATTTTACAGAGAAAGAGACTTGCAAGATCCGAATATCTGCTCTGGGAAACAGTGTTGAGAAGCTGCAAAAAACTACCACTGTTGTGTTAAATTTAGTAATAATGCATCTCGCCCTGTAGGTTTGCAAACAAGGCAATACATGGACTTGGGTTTGGATGCTGCAGCATTCAGCATTCAGAAGTACTTGAAACCCTTCTGTCCCTGACCAAAGTCAAAACATGAATACAAATTTCAAAGAGAGATATCTTGTGCATAAATGCTATTTGTAAATAGAGGCTCACTGATTCAGTGAGTAGGGTTTCCATCCTAAATTAGAGATCCAGGTACTTAAGCAGCAAAGCTCCATGTGACCATATGTAGGAGTCATCAGACCTGTTGACAGCTGTTGAAAAAAATCACTGAAAGAGTAGTTGAATGCAGGCTTCTGGCTTCTGATATTAGCTACGTAAATGCTCAGGCCAATAAAGGTTGTTAATTAAGAAAGCCTTTGCTGCCTAGGTGGATACAAGGTTGATTGAACAACTATTTGATTTTTATTATAATTTTTTTGCATTCTTTTAGACATATTTGAGATGTAGTTTAGCATCAGCTTCTAGATTCATTGACCTGCAGTTCTGATTTCAGGAGATGTCAGGAGACCCCTTAAGTCACTTCTTTCAGCCAGCTGCTTTCCCTGCAAGTAGTTAAGGTTAGTTAAGGTATATAGGGTGCAACTGCCTTTTTCAGATTCTAGCTGAAACAGGGTGTTCAGATTTGCTTTGCTTTGATAAAATGGTCGTGTTTATTCCCCATCATTGACTTTGTAAGTAGACCTGTAATTTCTGTGTGCCAGCCTTCTGAGTGCAAACATGTTTTAAACACGTTCCGTTAATGGTACTGATGTTACAAGCATCAGTGAGAATGCATCTGGGAATAATATTCTTGTTACTGATTTGGATGTATTGTTCTTTTTGCAAAGCGATGCAAATACAGGTCAGGTAGTACAAAGTTTGAAGTACCCTAATTAAAGTGCCTGTACCAGTTGTGTTAGACTTTATGATTAAAAGCGAAAGGATATCATTTTCACATATCCAAATATAACTGTTTGAAGTATTTTTCCAGTAACACCTACTGTTCGTGGTGAAGTTGAATGATACCCGCCTTCCTGGTTTCTTACAATGTCTTTAACGTTAATATTTCTTCAACTTTTGCTCGGCTTTCACTTCTGTGTCATCCCTTCGGGCGTTCCTGTGTTAGTTTGACCTTCCTGTACGCTTCTTTGAAGAACTCTTCAACCTTGAGCCCTGCTTCCTCACGTGATATTTACTGCAGGCTGCTCTTTGGCTGTGTCAGTCTGTGGAAGCAGTCCGGCTTTCTTCAAAGGTGGCTGCCCATCCTCCTACTTCCCCTTGCCCTCCCACCCTCCCCTGCACCTTCCATCTGGCGGAGAGAAGTTTGTGTCTGAAATTAGTCAAAAGTATTACCTGTGTAATAAACTGATACTTTTTCTTTTGTACCTATGTTAAGAACTCTGTATCTCTTTCTTAAATACTTAGCTTTTAATTTCACGTGTCTGTCTCCTCTGTGATGTTTTCCTTTGGAAATTGCTAAATACTTGCTTCTATTCAGAACTAATTATAGTAACTCCTTGGATCATACAAAGTCTAACTGTAAAACACCAGTAAGGGGCAAAGCTGCATCTAGTCTATGGTCTTGTAAAGTAGATTTGGAGTTCCAAACTGTGCAGATAAATCTGCACAATAGACTGGAAATCTGTTGAATTACACTGCTGGTTGGCAGTGGTGCAACTCATAATGGAGTTGGCTTTCCTATAGCAAATTTCAGTGGTGGTGTATCTTAATGTGCTTCCAGTCCTCTTTGTCCTCCTGTTTTCTGTAACCACAACAGTATTAGCTGTTGGACAGGCTCTCGAGGATATCATGGGCACAAGCATCCAAGAGGTATTTGGTACTCTTTAAAAGAGCCTGAAATTTACTGCTTTCCCTTCAACTGTTGGCTCCTTGTCTGGAGAATGTAGCTTCATGAAAGTATCCATGAGCGAGACGAAACAAAGGCAGGCTAACATGAAGCAGTAGGAGATCCTCCAAGAGGTGTTTTTTACAAAGACGTCTCAAAGCAAAAATAGGAAGTGGAGATAGTGAAGACTGGAGGGGATAAGGTCTTGAGGAAGTCATGTTAAGCTGCGTTAGACACAATTCAGTTGGTAGGTCACACGGACACTTGAACAGGTAATACTTTCATGTATGGCCTCAGATATCTCTTACCCTGCTACTTTGTGTCTTGGGAGTCATCCCTCCCTCTGCTTTAGAGATAACTATTTCAAGAGGCTGGCTGTTGCTGTGTCTGTTTATTGTGTCTTCTGCTTCGCTGCCTTGTTCATAGACGGATCTTATCTCTGTAGCAGCATATTTGAAGAGCTCGGCTAACAGGCTATCTTAGTGTCCATCTCAGATAGGAAGGTGTCTGTAAACTGTTTTCAGTGGTGCAGAATTGAAGCACAGAGAAAAACAGCTATTGTGAGGAGTCTGGCAAAGCAAGCAGGGAAAGGCATTGTCTCATCAGTTTCAGCATCACAGCAGCAAAAACTGTCAAGTGCTTTAACTTAAAATGTCCTAAAACTTCCTGCTTCGTAACGCCTGTTTTTAGTATAATAACTTCTTTCAATCTGCTTTTTAGACTAGATTATCTCAGGAAGTTAAAATTGTGTGACTAAGATCACTAATTAACAGTGGTGTTGGATATAATTATGATAATCCTCTTTATGCCGTTTCCTAGATGTAGTGGCACCACAGGGAAGCAACAAGATGCTAGCCATCAAGGCACCAGTTGAATTTCCTAAAATGTTGTCTTCTAGCTCTCTCCTAGCATCTGCAAACAAAGGTGAGAGCATATCTAGTAATAACCTCGAGGAAGCTTCAAAACCTTCTGCTGAAGACATGAGGACATTCATGTCAAGGAAAACTGTGGTTGGATTTCCTCAGCGAGTGGTTGGTTCTTCCCTCAAGGATGAACACCTGACTACACCTGCAACAGAAAGAGGCTTGAGGAGACAGCTAGTCGAGGAAGAAACTTCATCTTCATCCAGCTCATCAGATTCAGATTCTGAGGAAGAAAAAGATGTTGATGCTTCAGAAGTTGCTATTAAAACCAAAGTTGAGTTTCCTAGACGAGATTCCATCTTTTCTGACATCGCAGTAAAAGCATCAATGCTAGCCAAAGAGAAATTTCCCCAGAAATCCCACAAAGAAAATGGAGCTAAGAAGAAGCCACGCAAAATAGAACATGATGTGTCTCCTGCCAAGCAGGTCGCATTTTCTAAAACATCAGTCAGCCATGAGACCTCAAAGTCCAAAGCAAGGGAGCCCAAAGTAAAATCAACTCCAAAAGAAACAAACCGGCAGAAGCTGGTCTTAGAACCATACATGATTGAAAGCCAAGACCTGACTGACATCACTCAAAAATCTGATTATTTGGAGGAAAAATCCATTGGAACCCAAGTAGCAGCTATTCAGCTGAAAGCTCCGTCAGTGATTCGGGAAGACAAAAAGCAAAAACTGGTATCCAGAGGAAAAGAAAAAAAGGTGAAGCAAGTGCAGGAATCAGAAGAAACTGTTCCTAAAGTAGAAGAAACCGTACCTAAAGTAGAAGAAACTTCTGAAAGCACAATGGTGGTAGTGGGCACTACAGCAAAGGAGGAGACCATTCAGGAAGCAGGAGTCCAGGCTGGAGAAAAAAGCACAATAGAGGGTACAACTTTAAATTTTTTGAACTGTGTTGATTCATCTGGGCTAGGTTTTAACTTTTTTTTTAAAGGGTTTCCAGATCTTCTCTGTTCATGATTCTCTGATCTTTATCCTGAAGCTAACTGTGTAGCTGTGACTTTCTGGAAGATAAACTCTTGTTCATTGCAAATTGTTATAAGTGCTCAGTAACACTCAGTTTCGAGTTATGCTGTGAAAAGCAGCGGTCTTCATTTCACTGTATTTATAGTTTCATAAACCAGTCACTTGTAAAATGAAAACAAAATTGTTTCCACTGTGAGCAAAATCATGGGTTTTATATGACAACTTGTTTTCCCTTTTCTCTTCTTGGAAGGATTTGGTACCTGCCTTTCTCCTGAGCCAAATTTGATGCCATCTTTTTATTTTTTTCTTTTTTCTTTTTTTTTTTTTTTTTTTTTTTTTTAAATTTCCATGAATTATTGCTTTCCAATTTTAGACTCATCCCACTGCTAACAGGTTTCAAAGACTGCAATTTAGATGCTAAATTTCACAAAGCTGAAACTGTGAAGGCTAAAATTGACAGCAATCTACCTTTCACTTTACTTATTGTTGACCATAATTGATTTTGATTTGGGGTCTTACTGCAGCATTGGCCATAACTGACCCTACGAATTGTTCGGATCACCTGTAATATTCTCCTTTGATC